TTTGTCGGCTCCTCCCGCCTCCTGGCAGGTTCGGCCGGCTTTTATGGATTTTAGGATCCATAAGGGGCCGCGGGGGGCCGCCCCCCCCCCCCCCCCCCCCTCCCTTCATTTCAGTGCTCGATTGGACCCAACAGACCACAGTCTTTCACCTGAAACAGTTGACCATTTTGCAAATGACAGCAAGAATGAGAATGGAGAAAGATTGTTTTATTTCTGTTTGTTCAACAATCTCAGTATATCAAATACATGTTTTCAACATAAATTGGTTCATCAAAAATCATGGATGCATCCAGAAGGAAAAGAGTGGCACACACTAGACTATACGTTGGTCAACAAAAAAATTCAGGTCTCGTGTGGAAGATATTCGATTCTACAGGAAAGCAGCTGGAGTGGTCGGAACTGACCGTTATTTGATGAGAACAAAAGTCAGATTCCACTTGAACTGCAAAAAAAAGAAAGAGGAGGTCAACAACAGTTTCAACTTGATCATTCAAAATTGAAAAATGATGGGAACGTACAAGCATTTCAAAATGACTTAGCAAAGAAACTTCAAGCAGAAATAAACAACGGCACAGATATCAATCCTAAATACGATCAGTTTGTGAAAGTTGTGAAAGAAACAGCAATAACACACTTCAAGTTGGGCATTAAGACCAAGAAACGGTGTACAGAATGGCTAACTGATGAGATCATTGAATTGGCTGAGAAGAAGGGTGTGCCATATTTCATATGGATACAACATCAAGGAACACCAAGTGAAAAGAAATATAGAGACAAGTATGTGGAACTGAGAAAATTGGTAAAAATGAAAGTTGACCAACGACAGATTGAATATTGGGATAAATTGAGTGAGAAAATCGAGCAGACAATTAAACAACATGATCCAGCTACTGCCTATGCAATGATTCGACGTCTTCGAGGTGGTAAACAACATATCGAACATATGCCAATTTTAGACAAACAAGGAAAGTTATTGTGTAATGTTGGTGAGAGGTTGGAAAGATTTAGGGAATTCTTCAGTGAACTTTTGAATGTGAACTCTTTGATAGATCCGATGAGAATAGGTTTAATTAAACCAGTCAAAATATCTTCCATTGAAACAACCAGACAGAAAAAAATCACCAACCTTAGTGGAAGTTCAAATAGTGCTCAAGCAGAGGAAGAGTGAAAAAGCGCCTGGAAATGATGAAATTAGTGCTGATCTGTTGAAAGCATGTGACTTACCAGTGCTCAAATGGCTTCACAAACTATTTGTGGACATATAGAAAAAATGAGAAATTATTGTAGACTGGTCAGTAGTCATTTTGATTCGTCTATACAAAAACAAAGGTGATAAGAAGATCTGTGACAATTATCGTGACATTTCTTTGTTGATGGTGACAAATAAAGTATTTTCCCGTGTAGTTCTGAACCGAATTCAACAAACTGTAGATCTTCAACTTTTGAAACAATAAGCTGGTTTTCGTGCAAATCGATCCACAGTTGACTAAGTTTTCACTTTGAAGATGACAATGAAAAAGCACAGAGAATACAACAAACCACTCCACGTGTGCTTTATAGACATTCAAAAAGCCTATGACTCAGTTAATGAAGAGTTACAGTGGAAAATCTGTAGACAATATAGATTAACTGAGAAAAATGTGAACCTTTTAAAATTAGTCCACAAAAACAGCAGAGTCAAAGTCAGAATCAACGGTCAACTCTCGGACAGTTTTGACATTGAAACTGTAGTTATGCAAGGTGAAATTCCATCACCAAGTTTGTTCAATATCTTCTTTGACTTCATTGTGAGGAAAGTGCTGGAGGAAACAGGAGAGGACGGTGTTGAATTTGCCTATGGCAGCAATGACTTTTATCATTCAAAGTCTTAGAGATACGACTACCTTACTATCTTGGCACTGATGTATGCTGATGATTTAGTGACAATGTGCAAATCCTTACAAGATATGGAGAAATATATTTTGGCAATTGAAAAGGTCACACAAATGTATAGTTTGACAATGAGCGTGAAAAAGACTGTCATCGTATCTCTTCAACAATTTGAAATTGAATCCAATGGAAAAATATTGAACAGAAAAGTGCAACACCCAGACCCCAACATCGTCATCAGAAATCAAAAAGTAGCGACTATCAACTCATTCTCCTATCTCGGTTGTATCGTCTCCATAGATCAACGATTGGATTTAGAATTAGAATCAAGATTATTAAAGACAACAACAGCTTTTAACATGTTGAGACATGTGATTTGGTACAGAAAGAACATTTCAATTGAAGTCAAGTTAAGAACATTT